TAATTACACTAAATATGAGGATTTAAATCAGCAGAGAGAATTCCTTCAGTACAGACCTCTAAGTCCTTCTTCCAGCCCCCCCTGTGTACTTATACTCTGTTTGAACACTCTGTATAACATCTGTATAACATCTGTATCTGTAAAACAATGATTGATTTAAAAAAATATTTAGTTTTGTCTTTAGATGTATATAAATATAGTTCATGAACATTTCATTAAATTATTTCAATGGATGTCTGAGGGACTTTTTAAAAAAGAACCAAGGTTTTTCTGTGTCCATATAAGAGGAGGGGTGCATCAACAGAGAATTATGGGTAATGTAGTCCAGGTCATCTTTGCTATAGGGTCAAAACAGTAGCTGTATCTAATCAGGTGCATCCTTGAAGGACCCCTCTGATCTGGCCGGGCCCATCAAGGACCACATAGGGTGAACGAAGCGGTCCATGAAATGGCGGCCTGTCCTACGGTCCAGCTTTTCTGTCTAGCAACCTGCGCCTGACCGTAAAAACCTTAAAACCTGAAAAATGTATAAAATGCAGACAGAGAAGGTTATCTTCTATCTATTTAATTTCATTTAAAATACTTCACCTCCGGAGCATGACATATTTCAGGCTGAGAGAAGAACATTTTTTAATTTTAAATTCAAATTAAATCAGTGAAGCAATGAACTTTGAGCTAAAAGAAAAATCAATCAATACAGTCAATAAAAACCACAACAGCAAACACATTTGTTAACTTGTATGCAAATTAATCTTTTTCTTGTGTTCATACTGCATTATAATTTATTAGGGTCCTCGCAACGACTAGTCGTAGAGGAACCTATTGTATTTCAAGGAATTATTATTCTTATTCTTATTCTTTTCTCTAAGGAATTTTCCCTTTTTGAGGCCTTTATCATATTCAAAAAGTTATTAAATTTGGCACGCTTATCAGAACTGGTGAAAAATTTGATATTTTGGGGTTTCACATTTGGGTAAAAGGAAATGTCTCCATAGCGCCCCCTAGAAAGGTAAAAAAGTACCCCACTAGGCCAGTTTCCGCCCCCGATGACCAATCGACTTGAAATTTGGCACACATGTGCTCTTGGACATGCTCTACAAAAAAGTCAATCATGGTATGCAAATGCACGTAACTAGATTTTCCGCCATTTTGAATTTTGTGAAAAACACGTTTTTGGCCATTTCTCCTAAACGCTATGTCCGATTGTGACCAAATTTTCTGTGGATCATTATTGGATCAATTTACCCCTGCCCTATAAATATCTTCTTGTTTTGAGAAGATATGGGCTAATGAACTTTGCAAGGGGTGTGGCTTAATCTTGCAAGAGTCATAACTTCCAAATGATTTGGCCTGCCCTAACCAAACTTGTAACACATGTGAACATTGAACCCCTGAACACACCCTGATTTTTGAGATTTGAGATTGAGAATATTTGAAGAATATGGGGCGCTGCTATTAATCATTGAAAATCTGCCCTTTTGGCCTATTTTTGGCCTATTTTCGTGATTTCCTCGAGTTGTAAAAGACCAAACTCCTTCCAGGGATTAAACCCGATTCTTTTCAAATTCGCGCAGTGTGATCTCGAGGACCTAGGCTCTAAGAATTGCATTTTGCCGGAAGAAATTCCAAACTATGTGTGTAGGGAGCATTTTTGAAAAACCACCATTTTGCATGAAAATTGAAGTTGTTTTAACTTGACCATACTTTATCTAATCTGCTCCATATTTCTCACATAGCATGAACCTTTCACCCTGTACACGTCCATATGATCATTTTTAACCTCAGTCATAGCGCCTCCTGGGGAAAACAGGAAGTTGAATGTTTTTTTTATTTTACACCCTGCTCCTCACAGGTTTTGCTCCTCAAAAGTTAATATATAATAGGTGGCGAGATGTTGCATCGGCAAAGTTCATCCTTTGCCAAGAACAACTAAACCGTTGTAACTCTACTGAACATCATCGGATTCTTTCCAATTTTTACATGTTTGATGACCCTCTGGGCCTGAAGAGATGCAAAGTTGAATCAAGTCATAGCGCCACCTACTGGTAACTTGAAGTCAAATTTTCTAGTATCCAGTAAAAAACGAAGGTGGTATTTAGAGAGGCTTTTATTTTGAAATAGTACATCATAATGTCCTGGTTATTGCTGAGTCACATCTTATGGATGTGTACTCTATACCTGAAGTGGAAATACTGTGTAACTATTGATCTTTTCCTTTTAAATGTAATCTGAAAATGACCAGATGTAGTCTTGTAATTGATATTTTGGCTCTTGTATGGTATTTTGAGAGGCCTTTATTTTGGAATACTAAATCAGAATATCCTGCTTATCCCTGCGTGGCACCTTGGGGATGTATACTATTAGTCTGAAGTGAAATGATTATGTAACAATTAATAGTTTCCTTTTAATTCTAACCTGAAATTGACCAAAAGCAGTCTCGTGATGGAGAATTTGAAGGAAATTGTCCCATGTGTTGTAATATGGTGGGGCCCCTTTAAGAGCAGCACGTACGGAGCGGGTATGAGCGAGCGAGCGAGAGAGAGCGAGAAGGAGCAGGGTTTTTTGTTGTTGTTTATGTTTTGTGTGGACGTAGCGACCGGAGAAACCCATGTACCGTAACGGTGTTACTCAGTGTTCATCAATAAAATCCTCAAAGAAAGCATGCAGCAGGCCTTTATTCACTAACCGGCAAGAGGAACGAAAGTGAAGGGAATTAACCCCAAAGTTACCAACAGGCAATACTTTGGCCCTGGAGCAGAGAACGAAGTCTCCCCTGCAGTCTCCAACTACGGTCAGAGACGGACAGGCAGGAAAGGTTAACACTGGCGACCACGAAGGGACTCAGAAATACAACGATATCCGCTGTGGTAAGCACACTGAGAGGTAACCGATAAACCGGAGCAGTTAGCAAAACAGTACTGTTTCCCATTTTATCTTAACGTTAGCCAAGATGGCTGCCTCCAGTCAGCACCCCCGTGGCCGAACGTACAACAAAGTGGAGAAGGGACCAGCCACTCCACCCGTCCGATGTCATTCACTTCAATAGAGGAAGTTAAAATAAAAACAGACTGTTTGCACTTGAGAAACGGATATGACTGGCTCGATAAGCTTTTATCATGCGATGGACAGACCGATACATTAACAACACGCTGTCTGAAGTGAATACTCGTTAATTTATAAGATTTAGTCTTGAGAAGAAAAACATATTTTTAACCGTGATTAATGAATTAGAAAATGTGATATTGATTGCCCTGATAATAATGCCAATGCTATTCTCTTTTAATGCTGTCCTGCTTACTGCTGAATGTTATACTGAATACTATATAAATGTTGGACACAATGAATCGCCTTTATTTTAGTGCTGAGCTCAGCGGGCTGTATAATGGTGAGGGGAAACAGTGCTGTGAGTGTAGATTCATAGAATAAGGTTCACACCTTCCATCATTCGTCTGATTGTCCTATAACTAACTAACTATAACTAAGCTACATAGCATAACATGATTTATAGTTATTTGATAAGAAATGTTTTGTACATTATTTACTCTGATGAGGACTCTTTCTCCCACATTGAGATTGCAACCCTCCTCGCTGAGAAGGTATTGTCCTCTCATCTTCGTCATGGACCCCCACCATCCCAACGCTGAGTTGCCACCTGCAGCTTCCATCCTGGCGTCTGCAGGAGTTCCGATGATCGCCATTGAGGGACAGGAGCAGTTGCTTGGTGAGTTATTCCTCCTTTACCACCACCTGCCGTCAGTGCTGAGGTGAGGCAGACTCTCTAATTATACAGTGATTTTAGATATTTGTATCTGCATGCTTCTAATTCCATTTATACTTTTCATTTTCCATCAACATGATGTATTAAAAATCAGGAATGTCCTCTCAAAGTGATGCAGAGTTTTTTTTTTGTGCATTTGTTACTTCTAGACTAGATTACTGCATTTCTGTGTTATCAGGCTGCTCTCATAAGTCTCTTGAGCCTCTCCAGTTGATTCAGAAGGCTGCAGCATGGTCATTAACTAAAACTAAGAAAAGGGATCATATTACTCCTCTAGTAGCTTCTCTGTACTGGCTCCGGAATGGACGTGATCCTACATATTTCAATGACTTTTTGCAGGTCTTTGCCCATCACTGGGTGTGGGATTTGACCGCGTGTCCGGCTGACCGCTGTCCGTCCTTTGGGCATTCCCCCCGACATGCAAGGGGAGGCGAAGGCCCGTTCATCGGTGCTTGCAGCTTTGATTAACATTGAATTCACAAATAATCAGTGAAACAATATTTATCGTAAAGTTTCTAACTTTAAACTTTGTTTGTTCAGCATTACTTAGTAACATATCAAACATCTAAAAAATGTCTTTCTGTGTACTCCACTTTCTGCTTTCCAACTCAAAATGTTTGCATAATTAGTTCCTTTATATGTCTTGTGAGTGTGTGAAAGGAGTGATTGTCCACTGGGACACACACACACACACAAACAATCCATGCTCCAGTGGATCTAACGAACACAAGTGGCTGATGGGAGTTTTTACTTCTAGCCCGATCCATTTTTTTACACAGATCGTAATCAGACATGAAAATCCCGCACCTTTCGCCGAAATTCGCCGTTTTGAAACCAAAATAGGTTATCTACGTGAATTGTGTAGATTCGATGAGTTTTTTTGGGGGGGTATTCATATTCAGTGAATTGCGAACACGGTGAGTGATGGTGTCAATAATTTTAATATTTTCTGGTATATCTAAGTTAAGTTACCCAGGAGCTTTGTTGACATAGACTTAGCTAACGTTAGCTACAGCTTGATGAGTTGAGTCATTAAACACAGCGGGAGAGAACGCGACGTTGGCCAGCTAGCTTAAGCTTCGTTAGCTAACGCTACCGTTTTTGAGGAGGTAGATTTTGAGGTGAGGGGACTGACAAGGTAGAAGGTAAAGTGGTCCACTGTTCAATAAGCAGACCTGCCAACCCGAGACGCATTTTGACTTCAAAGTACGCTGGTACGATTTGTCACTCTAAACTACGCAAAAATAGTTGACCAGCACACATGATATGCAATGCAATATAGTATTTAATGACTTGTCCCCTATTAGTTGTTGTCAATCCCCCCCCTCGTCGGTGCGCAAAAAATTATCTCTGCGACAAAATCAGTTAAAAAACCCTGCCCTAGAGGGGTAATATCCTTGTCACCCTTTTCACACTTGACCCGTTTTCATGCCTGCACAATGATAGTGGAGGGAAAGTACTTAATTTGGTACTTTGCACAGTACTCGGTAGTTGAGTCATAGCACTTAGTACAAAGTGTGTGTGTGAGCAGTTGAGTTGAAGCTCTTTACACTGTTTTTTATTAAACTGACTTTTTGTTCATATGTCACGGGATGAGGTGTGATGCCACGAGATGTGTCTTGATGAGGAGACATTTAATGTCTTAAAGTTTGCATTCTTTAGGCTGCAGCTGATCGACTATGAAGTGTTACAAAGGATCAGTGAGTCTCAAACACACACACATACACAGAGTGTGTGAGTTTCTAGAGACACACAAAGTTACATCAGACATTTGAGTCAACAGATTAAATCTAAATATCTAAGAATGACACAGACTCCCTTTTGTCTTAATACTTTTCATCATTTATTCATTTAATTATTTGCAAAGAAAACTTTTCTTTTGTGAGCACTTGAAGTAAACAAAGCTTTATGGTTGTACTTCTACTACATCTATTAATTACATTTACATGTGTAAATGTGGTGAAAACAAAAAAACTGAAAAATCTTTTTCATTTAAGTAAAATTTACAAAAGATTTAGGTGATATTAATGCAGAATGATTTATACTCTTGTGTTGTAATTATCCATATATTCATGTGTTCGTCTGGTAAAGGGGGAATCATTTTAATATGATATTATAGAACAAACATCCAAGATGACTTTGGTTCATTTTCTTTTAATAATCTGTAAAACAAAATGAAGCTGACAGACAAAGGTAGTCCAGTAAAACATACAATATTTATCATTATCAAATAAGAACTCTGGGTTTCATATTCAGAGGATTTTAGTATCATCAATTCCTCCGCCAGGTTTAAAGGACAGATTAAATCTTTCTTTAGAGGCCCGGCGTCAAGCTTCTGCGTTTCTGTTGTTGCAGTCTTTGTTGCTTCACACAGGAAACAGGAAGTCAGGAAGTCTCAGAGAGAATAAAGGCGCGCAGGAGTATTTAGATGATGTAACCTCTGAGCAGGAACCAGAACAATACGCAAGAAACAATATTCCAACCAAAACTATCCCAGTAAGTAAAATTCTCCATTATTGATCAACCCCTCCAGAATAAGAGAAAACATCTGGCATATTGGGATCATTATTATTATTATTGGTAATAGGACAATATCCACAATCGGACCACAAAACAGAAATAAGCTCAACAACCAGATTCATCAGATCATTAATATAATTAATAGTGAATAAAACCACTCGTCAGATACTAAATACTAAACATCACTGGTGTAATAATCTTACTCTGTAACCGTTAATAAAACTGACAGATGAAGGCCTCCAGGCAAAAGTAAAATATTTCCTCTTCAGAGGGAGAGAAGTGGAATGTATTAAGTTTCTTCATTATGAGATATGAGCAGCTTTGTGATTTTAATGAGACATTTTATTGGAAATTAAACAAAAGATGTGATGAGTACTTTAATAAATGAGAATACGTGGTGTTTTATGACAGAAAGCCTTAAATGTATTACAAAAGAACAATGACAGACGTTATTTAACAAATTGACATTATTATTATAAGTCTGAATATAATCACATTATTTAACCTTTCACTAAAAATGCTTCTTCGAAATAAAAATGAAAAACATTTAATGTGAGGAATGCTTTTAATGTGAAAGGGTTATTTTCTATATCTCTGGAGCAGTTCGGTGGCTAAAAATCAGCAAGTTTATTGATTCATATTTATAAACCTTTGTATTTATGTAAATGTATTTATATTTATTTTATTCAACCAGATAAATCATCTGAGAAGTAGTTATGTTTAAAATAATCACCTGGTCAAGGGGGCAGTGACAGGAAGTGAACATATAAAGTTAAATTGATTTGAACCGTATGATCACAGGAACATGTGGCTGTCTTCACAGACAGGTCAGAAAGTACAACTCCCAGTGCCACAAACTGTTCCAGACCGTCCCCAAGGACGAGATCCTCATGAAAGGTGAGAACCCTGTCCCTACCCTGTCTCTCGCCTGTCTCTGACCTTCTGTATCACTTGTCCTGATAAGACCATTTGATCAGAGACAGGGTGTCTCTTCTAGTCTCATCACCTGTGTACCTGCTTCTTCTTCTTCTGTAATATATTTGTGTGCGTTGCAACGAGACATCATTCTGCAGGGGAGACTCTACATCTCCAGGAACTTCCTCTGTTTCTACGCCAACCTGTTTGGTAAAGACATCAAGGTGAGAGAAAGAAGCGCCCTCCACTCTGACTCTAAAATCACATTTCTAATGTATCCCAGTGAGCACAAGACGTAATTTCAACGTTGAAATATGGTTGAAATCGGGTTGAAATGAGGTCTGAACGTCTAAGACCTCATTTCAACGTCTTTTCAACCGGCTAAAAATGGGATGAAACACCAACGTGCCAGAAAACGTCAATTTGTTGATAAATGTGTCATGTTGTAACGTAAGGTTGAACGATAGACGATATTAACGTTAAGATTTTCATAATAATTAATGAACTGGTCGGCGAAATTTGGTCTACGCGAAGACGTGATTTCAACGTATTTAATATTTAACTTAAAACGTCATAAATATGAAACTACGGACTGCGTGCTGTTAATAAGATGCGTTTAAGACATAATAATGCGGGCAGGTTCAAACATTACTTGTAAACACGTAACTCCGCTCACATCTGTAACGCGCATGCGCGAGTTCTTAGACGCCTGCAGAGCTCCGAGCGGACGAGGCGAAGTTACGGCAGCAGAGCGACATGAACGGGCTGATAGAACCACGACTACCGGCTCCAATGCTCTGTAAGTACGGGAGTGTTTGGATGAAGCACACATGGAACTATAACCGGGTGTTTTACTTGTGCTGCCCACCCGATACGGGAAAGACGGCCCTTTTTGTTAAGCTAGTTAGAGTTAGCGCAGGTAGTTTGCTAGTTAGCATGCTAGCTTGGAGCATGCTAGCGTGCAGCATGATGACCTGGACCAAAAGTAAACGTCCCAGAATATTTTTCGTATGTTTGGTGTTACTAATGCGTTAGGTTGTTGCTGTACCCATACATGTTATTGCATTTCACATTGAAAATACGTTTTTAAAGCAATGGTGGCTAAGTTGCATTGCAAGGGTGAAGGGCTGAATTCAACAAGTTGTGCTCTGTAAACAAGAGGCCGAAACATTGTAAGTTACTGCTGCTTAAATCATGGTACTGTGTGATATACCTGAAAATGTTACTCCAGAAATACCATAAGTTGCAGATGAATTGTTATCTTGTTTATAATGTAATAAGTAAACCATCTATAAATTAGTGTTCCTCATTACCTGCTGCTGTTATTATTATTAGTTTATTACTGTCATCATAAACCCAAATTACCAACTTTGCCGTTGTGCTTCCCTCCTTACTGGTTTCTGCGGGTGGTGGTTGCATCTGATGGAGATTACGTCTGATGATGGTTGTCCCTGCACTGGTCCTGCCTTACCCCTGTCTTAATAATCCACAATATTAGAATAATTTATGTTGTAGGAATCGGATGTACTGTACATCTTTTAAGTTGTTCACACCTTCTTCCCTACTGTTTTCCCCTCAGGTTTCTCCAGGTTGAAGGTGTTTTACATTTTGGGGTTTAGGGGATAGGGTGTTGCATGTTTACAGATTGCAAAGCTGAACAAAATAAAATGATTTGAATTGAATAAACACGTTGACCAGAGGAATCTGCTCCGTGCACTCCCTTTACACAAAGAATCCTCAAGTGAGGATGAGGGAGATGCAGCTGATTTCAGGTATACTATCCCAACTCAAGTGAGGCACATCTTGTTTCAGAATCTATAATGACGTTCCAATGATTCAGAAAAATGGTCTACAAACACAGAATTGTTGAACAAAGAAATGTTGTTTCTGCACTTTTAATTCCATAATTTATTTTCCTGAAAAATATATTTTATTTCTGTATTGTTTTTAATTAGAAAAAGTGCTGTTATATGTATAGTGTTATATTTATAATAAATACAAATCAATAAAATAATGTGTTTGTCCTTGTTACGGGATGTTAACATGACAACTGTGACTAAGTATGTAACTTGTACGTTTCCATCGAGCAATTTATCCGTTGAAACAACGTTTAAAAGACGTCTATGGCCCGACGTTGAAAAGAGGTTACAAATTGGTTTAAAAGTGAAAGTTGTTTCAACGTCTATTCGTAGACGTTGAAAAGACGTTCGCGTATAGACCCGTTTTCAACGTGATTTATAATATCGGTGGTAAACTTACAAATGTGGACGTAGTTTCTTTTTAAACCTCTAAAATAATGATATAGCACACAAGAGAGGACGAAATATTACCGTATTAAAAAATCACGTTGAAATGTGGTCTAAACATAGACGTCTTTTCAACGTCTACGAATAGACGTTGAAACAACTTTCACTTTTAAAGCATTTTGCAACGTCTTTTCAACGTCGAGCATAGACGTCTTTTAAACGTCTTTTCAACCAAAAAATGCAAAATGTAAAAAACCTTCAACCTGGAGAAACCTGAGGGGAAAACAATAGGGAAGAAGGTGTGAACAACTTAAAAGATGTACAGTACATCCGATTCCTACAACAGAAATGATTCTAATATTGTGGATTACTAAGCCAGGGGTAAGGCAGGACCAGTGCAGGGACAACCATCATCAGACGTAACCTCCATCAGATGCAACCACCACCCACAGAAACCTGTGAGGAGGGAAGCACAAAGGCAAAGTTGGTCATTTGGGTTTATGATGACAGTAATAAACTAATAATAATAACAGCAGCAGGTGTGTTAGAACCCTCATTTATAGATGGTTTACTTATTACATTATAAACAAGATAACAATTCATCTGCAACATATGGTATTTCTGGAGTAACTTGTCCAGGTATATTACACAGTATCATGCTTTAATGCAGCAGTAACTTACAATGTGTTGGCCCTCTTGTTTACAGAGCACAACTTGTTGAATTCAGCCCTTCACCCTTGCAATCTGTATTTAGCCCCCATTGCTTTAAAAACGTATTTTCAATGTGAAATGCAATAATATTTATGGGTACAGCAACAACCTAACGCATTAGTAACACCAAACATACGAAAAATATTCTGGGATGTTTACTTTTGGTCCAGGTCATCATGCTGCACGCTAGCATGCTAACTAGCAAACTACCTGCGCTAACGCTAACAAGCTTAACAAAAAGGGCCGTCTTTCCCGTATCGAGTCGGCAGCACAAGTAAAACACCCGGTTATAGTTCCATGTGTGCTTCATCCAAACACTTGCGTACTTACAGAGCATTGGAGCCGGTAGTCGTGGTTCTATCAGCCCGTTCATGTCGCTCTGCTGCCGTAACTTCGCCTCGTCCGCTCGGAGCTCTGCAGGCGTCTAAGAACTCGCGCATGCGCGTTACAGATGTGAGCGGAGTTACGTGTTTACAAGTAATGTTTGAACCTGCCCGCATTATTATGTCTTAAACGCATCTTATTAACAGCACGCAGTCCGTAGTTTCATATTTATGACGTTTTAAGCGAAATAGTAAATACGTTGAAATTACGTCTTCGCGTAGACGAAATTTCGCCGACCAGTTCATTAATTATTCTGAAAATCTTAACGTTAATATCGTCTCTCTTTCAACCTTACGTTACAACATGACACATTTATCAACAAATTAACGTTTTCTGGCACGTTGGTGTTTCATCCCATTTTTAGACGGTTGAAAAGACGTTGAAATGAGGTCTTAGACGTTCAGACCTCATTTCAACCCGATTTCAACCGTATTTCAACGTTGAAATTACGTCTTGTGCTCACTGGGATACATCAAATTTATGTATACACTCATTCGAAGTAAATCAGGGGATGCTTTTGTCTGCGTCAATCCCAGCTGGCATTGTGGGAGAGACGGGGTCCACTGGATTGGTCTTTAGTCAGTGACACCCAGTGAGCATCTTTTGGTTGAAAAGACGTTTAAAAGACGTCTATGCCCGACGTTGAAAAGACGTTGCAAAATGCTTTAAAAGTGAAAGTTGTTTCAACGTCTATTCGTAGACGTTGAAAAGACGTCTATGTTTAGACCACATTTCAACGTGATTTTTTAATACGGTAATATTTCGTCCTCTCTTGTGTGCCATATCATTATTTTAGAGGTTTAAAAAGAAACTACGTCCACATTTGTAAGTTTACCACCGATATTATAAATCACGTTGAAAACGGGTCTATACGCGAACGTCTTTTCAACGTCTACGAATAGACGTTGAAACAACTTTCACTTTTAAAACATTTTGCAACGTCTTTTCAACGTCGGGCCATAGACGTCTTTTAAACGTCTTTTCAACGTTGAAATGCTCGCTGGTTGAAATGTGGTCTAAACGTAAACGTCTTTTCAACGTCTATGAATAGACGTTGAAACAACTTTCACTTTTGAACCAATTTGCAACCTCTTTTCAACGTCGGGCCATAGACGTCTTTTAAACGTTGTTTCAACGGATAAATTGCTCGCTGGAAACTTACAAGTTACATACTTAGTCACAGTTCTCATGTTAACAGCCCTTAACAAGGACAAACACATTATTTTATTAATTTGCATTTATTATAAATATAACACTATACATATAACACTTTTCCTAATTAAAAATACAAAAATAAAATATATATTTCAGGGAAATTAACTATGGATTTAAAAGTGCAGAAACAACATTTCTGTGTTCAACAACAACAATTCTGTGTTTGTAGACCATTTTTCTGAATCATTGGAACTTCATTTTTAGATTCTGTAACAAGATGTGGCTCTGAGTCACTTGAGTTGGGATAGTATACCTGAAATCAGCTGCATCTCCCTCATCCTCACTTGAGGATTCTTTGTGTAAAGGGAGTCAGAGTGCAGAGAACAGCCCTCAATTGCAGATTTCTCTGGTCAACGTGTTTATTCAATTCAAATCATTTTATTTTGTTCAGCTTTGCAATCTGTAAACATGCAACATCCTGTCCCAAAACCCCCAAAATGTAAAAAACCTTCAACCAGGAGAAACCTGAGGAGAAAACAGCAAGGCAGTAGGTGTGTAGAGTATGAACAATTTAAAGATGTACAGTACATCCAATTCCTACGACAGAAATGATTCTAATATTGTATATTGATTACTAAGCCAGGGGTAAGGCAGGACCAGTGCAGGGACAACCATCATCAGACGTAACCTCCATCAGATGCAACCACCACCCACAGAAACCTGTGAGGAGGGAAAGCACAAAGGCAAAGTTGGTCATTTGGGTTTATGATGACAGTAATAAACTAGTAATAATAACAGCAGCAGGTGTGTTAGAACCCTCATTTATAGATTGTTTACTTATTACATTATAAACAAGATAACAATTCATCTGCAACTTATGGTATTTCTGGAGTAACATTTCCAGGTATATTACACAGTATCATGCTTTAAGCAGCAGTAACTTACAATGTTTCGGCCTCTTGTTTACAGAGCACAACTTGTTGAATTCAGCCCTTCACCCTTGCAATCTGTATTTAGCCCCCATTGCTTTAAAAACGTATTTTCAATGTGAAATGCAATAATATTTATGGGTACAGCAACAACCTAACGCATTAGTAACACCAAACACACGAAAAATATTCTGGGATGTTTACTTTTGGTCCAGGTCATCATGCTGCACGCTAGCATGCTAACTAGCAAACTACCTGCGCTAACTCTAACTCGCTTAACAAAAAGGGCCGTCTTTCCCGTATCGGGTGGGCAGCAGAAGTAAAACACCCGGTTATAGTTCCATGTGTGCTTCATTCAAACACTCGCGTACTTACAGAGCATTGGAGCCGGTAGTCGTGGTTCTATCAGCCCGTTCATGTCGCTCTGCTGCCGTAACTTCGCCTCGTCCGCTCGGAGCTCTGCAGGCGTCTAAGAACTCGCGCATGCGCGTTACAGATGTGAGCGGAGTTACGTGTTTACAAGTAATGTTTGAACCTGCCCGCATTATTATGTCTTAAACGCATCTTATTAGCAGCACGCAGTCCGTAGTTTCATATTTATAATGTTTTAAGTGAAATATTAAATACGTTGAAATTACGTCTTCGCGTAGACCAAATTTCGCCGACCAGTTCCTTAATTATTATGAAAATCTTAACGTTAATATCGTCTATCTTTCAACCTTACGTTACATCATGACACATTTGTCAACAAATTGATGTTTTCTGGCACGTTGATGTTTTATCCCATTTTTAGCCGGTTGAAAAGACGTTGAAATGAGGTCTTAGACGTTCAGACCTCATTTCAACCCGATTTCAACCATATTTCAACGTTGAAATTACGTCTTGTGCTCACTGGGCAGAGCCGACAAAGAAAAACACCATTCACCCATTCACTGCCCTACAGGAGAGTTAGTCACCATTCAACCCCACAACATGTGTGTGGCCTGAGGGAGGAAGCCCGGAGACTCCTCCCAGAAAGGCGCTGGAGGCTTTGAACCCGAGACCTTGGGTGCTAACCACCTCACCAGAGCACTACTTCCTGTTTGTGTCCCTGCTGTCCAGAGACAGCGTCTACGATGTCCTCCGGAGAATCTTCACTCACCTGCAGGTTTGTAGATTGGTAGCTCCTGTTTGTGTGATGTGACTTCCTGTCTGACTGCAGGTAAACGGGGAGAGTCTGAGTTTGAAGCAGTTTCTGGAGGAACCTAACTCTTTCCATGGTAAATATCTCAAAACATCTGTCCCCTCTCTTGGCGTGTCTTGGCGTGTTGAAGTGGTGGAGAAAGCCTTCCCTCCCGGTTGTGTCCTTGTCCCTGCCAACTCCTCCCCCGGCCTCGCTGCAGACACACCCTTTATCACGCACACACTCACAGGTAAGCCCACCTGACCCGATTAACCCTTGACCTCTACAGAATCACTACAAAGTACCACAGAGTACACGCAAAAGTACCATTTCATACCAACAAAAAACATGTTTCTAAAATCCTCACACAAAGACGGGAACGTAATAGTCACAATATCGTGATCAAGAAATACTTGAAATACAGCTGGAGCGGATGTGTGAATATTACAGCGGTTCTTCAGAGCGATGCCACAGAAGAACCGTTTCTGGTTCCACAAGGAACATTAAGACCTGGATAAACCCCCAAAGGTTCACAAAGGGTTCCTTGAGGAACCGAGAAAAAAAAAGTTATTAATGAACCACAGAAAAGATGAAAAAAACAGGAACTGACAATCAATGACATTTTTGACAGTGTATATATGATACACAGTATATATAATACACTGTATAATATATATACGGTGTACACAAGACAGTGTATTATGTACACCGTATATACATATAATAAGACTTGTTTGTCTCAGCGGCTTCTTCCTGGTCCTGTCCTCCTGCTACTTGGGCTTCAGAGTGTGTCGCCTGGAGCAGCAGATGAGCTTTCTGAGCAGCCAGCCGACACTGAGGGACAGGTCCATACACATCTGGGAGTCATACACATCTGGTAGTCATACACATCTGGGCATTATATTACCATTCTATTTCTTGTTCCTCCAGATGTGGAGAGTTGTCCTGCTGGCTGGCCAATCAGAGGACAAGAACCTGAAAGAGTCAATCAGGGAGTACAAGAAGAAAAACCTGCAATTACATAGATTTCCTATCGAGGGGCGGGGTCAACCTGGTTACCATAGAGACACAACGGTCCCACCTCTCGAGAGGTCAGGAGACCGGAGGGACGGCGTTGTGCTGTTACATAACAGATGTGTGGGTGTGTGCATGTACAGTCAGTTACATTTAGCAGAAACCTACATTTACTTGACACTTTCTCACTGATTTTAAGTCACATGTCTAATTTATTTACTACTCAGAGATGACATTTGCACCTCTAAATCAAGCTGTTTTTTGGATCAGAAGTCCCCAACCCTTTTCATCTCATGGACCGGTCAACGTGTGGCAGATAAACACAAAGAAATAGAGATACGATCTGCATGGTATTGTGGAATTTTATGGTGTAAATATAAAGGTACAGTCAGGCACGTGCACAGACATTTTGGGGGGCAGGTGCTCAAAACAAAACAAACCAAAACAAAAGGGCAAGCAACCTCCTGATTCTTTATGAAAATAAAAATAATAAATGATATATATATAATAAATTAAAAATAATAAATGATATAAATAAATAACAATATTTTCAGTTGAAGCATGTGGTATATAATATACCACAATAAACCTCACCAGACTGTCATGCAGCTCAACTTAAGGCATACCTTTCATTTCAATAATTGTATATCAAACAAAACAGGTGAACTTGTCTAATTTGTAGAACAGTAAAACTGCCTTTAACTTAACTTCCTGTCTGCATCTGTTTTTCTCTCTTCATTAAACATGACAAACATCAGTAAACAGCTGGACAAGGCTTTGAAATCACGAATTATTTTTTTTATTCATTTGAAAGTATTTTGTTCATTTGTATGAAATTAGTTTATTTTATGAGGTAAAAATGAAGTACCTGGGGAATACCAAGTACTTTATTAAATACATGGTATTCCGTTTTAGTACTTATTGGATGTAAAGTAATGTGGTATATATATAATTCCTTGGGCTAGGGCAGCAAGCCCAAAGTGTGGGCCGCGAGAGGTCATTTACAATGAATAAAGTTAATTTTTAAAAGTTTGAAATTAATATAAAAATATTTATGATGCGGCACATTAGTTATGTGAAACATTAGTTGATGCAGCAAACAATTTAAACGGACAGATTAATAAAACAATAAGGCTCTCGCTCGAAACGGCTGCTCTTGTCCGCCTGTCGTTGTTCAACAAACGGGGCGCCCTCTTGTAGTATTAAAGTAAATATTCCGCATTTTCCGCACTCCAAGGCGCACTTAAAAGGCTTTAATTTTCTCAAAAACGTGCCTTATAATCCGGAGCGCCTTATATACATGGATCAATTGGTTAATCGGTTGATCCATACTGGTTGTACACGGCGCTCAAGGCGCTCTGCCAAACATGCCAAAGCTCGGTCTACGACAGCGAGATGCTGAGCGGCGCTCAAGCGCGTGAGATATGGAGCTTGTTTCAGGGCGCGTCGGAGAAACAAAGCTGTCGTTCTCGCCGAGCACTTCATGAGATTAAAGAGCGAGAGACGGCGCCCTTTTCTTTACAGTAGCTGAACCATCTTAACGGGGAAAATAAGTTATTCTAAAAGGAGCTGAAGATTTAAGGCGTGGATGGCGAGGGGGCGGACGCACCTCGCAGCATCAATCGGACCCTGAAAGCACCGTCTCCACCTTACTGTCAATAAGAACAACAGCGAGCGCGTAGAAAACTCCTTCGAGCGCGAGCAGAGATTCTCCTCGCGAGCAACGCGAAAGTTATCAAATACCTCGCGGAGACGAACTTCTGCTCGCGGATGTTTGATTTTGGTTAAATTCTTACGGTCATTTAATCATTATGTTTTGATCAGAGTTGTGATTAAAGGTTTGGGTGGGCCGCGAAAGATTTTCAGATTTCAAAGTGGGCCGCAGAATTCTTGAGTTTGGGAACCGCTGGGCTAGGGGATTGAAGCCAGGATCACCCTCTGTGAGGAGATAACTGGATATTTGATCAATAATCAAGGTCTATTTTCTAGAGAGGGTTATGTGTATTTATTCTTTAGATCAGTGGTCCCCAACCTTTAAAAAAAAATATATATACATAAGCTTCCCGTGGTGCGGCCCGGCACCAAACGGCCCACAGACCGGTACCAGTCCGTGGGCCGGTGGTTGGGGACCACTGCTTTAAATGATATAAAAGGCAGGAGTCGGCTGCTTTTTGTCCCCAAAGTTTTTTTTTATTAGGACGGTACTTTACAGTCTAGACTCCTCGTGGCTGCTTGAAGTTCATGCCGACAGTGGGTTGAGTCACCTGCAAGTTGGACAGACCGCCGAAGTCCTGAGGAGCAGAGGGAGAATGGGTCTGAGAACATTGTGGACACACTGTACCAGGACCAATAGACGCAGAGACTTTACACCAGACTTCATAGTAAAAACAGCAGATTAAAGGAGGACCATCTGTCCGAGAGCATCAGGGTCTGATAGGAACCGACAGTCCTTCACACACGGGAAAGGCTCTCGAGGTGATCTTCCTGTCCTATCAATGGCCTGACGACAAGGACGCCATGACCACTTTCGATACAGAATGATGAGAAACACAAGCTCCCCTGAAGGCACCATGTTTTACCTTTACAAGCTTACCTTCGTATGTTAAAGCAGCTATTCAAATGTTCTTTGGTGATCAAAGAACTTTACACCTTATTAAAAAAACTTTGCCTCAGGGTCTTCTTCAATGTAGTTGTTGCTTACTGTTACTACCCAGTGGTATTAATATGTATATCAATTATATATTCTAAACTTACCAGCAGCTTCAGCATCTCCTTTGTATCAGGGTCAACTTCTATGAGCTCCTGGTCCAGAGCAGACACCTGGAGGAGGGTGAGAGGGGGGTAATCGTCATTATAGAATCAGCTTTCCCAGATGACCCAGAATGCAACGTCTTAAGACTGAACATATAGGTCCAGCTGAAAGACACATCTATAATCTACAAACCATTAGCCCTTCAAATATTTAGGGGCTTTTGACCATTTTATTGTTTTTAACTTGAATAAATCAGACCACTACTTTACTAGAAATTAAATGTTGGCAGTACTACAATGAGCCTGACTGATTAACTGCGAAAAAGCAACAAGTGCCTGAGAGTCCAGCTTCAGAGTCCAGTGTTGTCGTCCCCCCCCAGCGCTGAATAAGTATGCAATTAAAAAAATCTATGCAGGGCAGTTCCACACTAACATGAATCTGTCTGTTGTAAACCATGGGGGACCACTGGGGTCTGATATAAACATAAAGACCGGCTTTGAGATTCTACACCAGACTTCATGGTAAATACAGCAGATTTGAGGAGGACCATCTGTCCGGGAGCGCCAGGGTCTGATAGGAACTGACAGTCCTTCACACACGGGAAAGGCTCTCAGTTGATCTTCCTGTCCCATCAATGGCCTGACGACGAGGAAGCCATGACCACTTTCGATACAGGACGCACGCACTCATTAATGGAGCGGGCTCAAATGTCAACCTGAAGGCTCACAACCTCACTTCATTGTGACAGAATCATGTATTGTCAAACATTCATGAAAGCAGCTCTCAGATCAGCTCACGTGATGTTTAACTTTACAGCTTGGTAAATGCTGCAGATTTATTTATTGTTTCTTATCATAGTTCTTGAATCTGCATCTCGTTAGAAGCTTTCTTAAACCAGCCAGCAGGATTACAAACCAGGTATTCTTTTAACAACCTACAAAACTACACGATCAGTGTTTGCCCTTCCATTGAATCATATTAATGGATATTAATATCATGTGTCATATTCTCAGCTCCGAAAATGGCATGCCCATGATAAAAAGTGATATAACTATACTTTGTCTATCTGGGAGGGAGGACTGGGGTGCCTAGAGGGTGAACAGGTTAAATAACCAGTACATACACAAATTCCCAATCAACACCAGTTCTAGTAACTGGTGAAACCGTCCAGTCAAAGTCCCTACGTTCTGATTGAACATACGTGCTTGTGGTGCGTTCACTGACCTCTGGAACGTAGTTGTCCCTCCTCTCTCGCTCCTCCTCCTGCAGTTTGATGGAGATTCCTCTTACTGGACCCCTCTGAATCCTCTTCATCAGATGCGTCACATACCTGCAGCCAGAACCACAAGCATGTGAACACACACCAGACTTCATGAAGAAAACTGCACATTTATGGAAAAGCAGTCTCAGAGCATCAGCGTCCGATGGGAACATTAACAACCAGTCTGAGACCTCCAAACCTGACGTAATGGTAAAAACAGAAGATTTGAGGAGGACCATCTATCCGAGGGCATCAGGATCTGAGCCGGCAGTCCTTCACACACGGGAAACACTCTCAAGTTTATCTTCCTGTCATATCCATGGCCTGACGACGAGGACGCCATGACCACATTCGATATAGGATGTGGAGCAGATGTTAGGAACTGACCCAGCAATCTTGTTGCGTAGCTTCTTGCTAGGGATGATGGCGATCTCCTCACACACCCTCTTGTTGGTGTGGAAGTCACTCCCTAGACGGGTGTAGTATTTCTCGATGATGACCCGGGCAGCCTTCTTCACCGTCTTGGTCCTGACTCGTCCCTGAGAAAAGGAGAATATGTCATGTCATCAGTTTACATTCATAGAAACCATTTTGGTTGCAGATTTTAGCTAATAACATTTTTACGAACCTCCCTATTTGAATTTTAGATTGAAGCAGATTCTATTTAACACAAGTCTCATTTGATACAGCAGGGGCAAGTTGGGACACCTCAGGGAGGTGCGATACTACCTGCTCGGATGGGATGAATCGTCATGGCCACCACACGCCTTCAAACACTTCCCCGGTATGTTAACTAAACGGTCGGTCGGCGGGATGTTAAAACCACCGGTAAAGGTTGCTAGCCCACCGGGGGGTGGGGGTTAACAACCCGGATTTTCTAGGTAAGCTAACGGCGGGTGATACATTTTAGCAGGTAACAGTTATAAGAGCCGGCGTTTTAAGAAACACAACATCATTAATATTATGCTGTTCCGCTATATTAAACCGATAGAAATCGGAATGAGAAACGTTTAATTTAGCTGCACCGCGCCACATCCCCGAGCGGCAGCTCCGCCGCTACAATTCTGCTATATAAAATGTGGATTTACGTCAATACTCCAATATTTAGGTTTGTTAACCTATCCGGTGCCCAAAAACAAAATCCCCGAAGAGCAATGCTCCTCTTAACTCGAGGATTATTTTAGATTAGTCAGGTAGGCATGTGAAAAATACCCACCATGTTGGATCGGCCTGGTAAAAGAGAACGAATAAACTTCTGGCGGAAGTTTAAATCCACAGGCGGAAGCTGAGAAAAGAAACGAGGCGCACGTGCAGGGCCCTCTGTTGGCCGGAAGACAAAACTACAAACAATTATCGACATCCTATATTTAATTCAATATTTAAAATATACCTATACTATAAATATTGCTCCTGTGTTTTTGACACTCATCTTTTATATTTCAATATACCTTTTCTTTTAATATATTTATTAACTTGCTTGTCAATAAACTTTATTCTGGTTTTATTATTGTAAATCGATTTGGATAAAAGCGTCAGCTAAGTGACATATAATGTAATGTAATTATTTAATTAAAACAAATGTATCTTTATTTTATTTATTCATATAATATTACTAGAGTATTTTGACTCTATTAAAGTGAAAAGCATAATTAAATTGTAGTTATTCACGTAGTTTCCGGTTGAACATCATTTCCCATGAGCGCCAGCAGATTTATCAAGCGATACTCTGGTGACGTCACATGACAACATGGCTGCCGCTTTGTCCAGCGAACATTTTGACAATTTACAGCTCCGCCTGAAGGTATTGATCCCGAAAATCGATCTTAAACAGATTCTTTATAAAGTGCGATTGGCTGGCGACCAATCCAGGATGTACCCTGTCTATCGCCCGAAGTTGGCTGGGATGGACTCCAGCCCCCCCGCGACCCTGTGTGCAGGATAAGCGGTTTGACAATGGATGGATGGAATGGATGGATGGAATGGATGGATGGATGGTTTCAGCCGAAGTTCGATAAC